AGGCTGTGCGGTTGAAGGGAAAGACAGGACTTTATAACCCACAGGTACTTTGTGCCTCAATATGGCACTGCCCAGAGAGGTGACGCAGCAACATTAAGCAATAACAGTTGTAATGAAGCAGTGAGGGCATCACCACCTATAACTACTTTGTGACTCGATCTGAAAACTAGACTGAGGTGAACTAGCAACATTAAGTTATGCCTATATCAGGGATGTAACAGAACCTGAAACATGTACTGCCCCAACAGGGATATCATATAACGAGAACCTGATATCCTTTTAAGCTCTAAGTGAGTGAGTGAATGAGAGTGAATGAGTGAGTATGGTTTAACGCCATGTTTAGCAATATTCCAGCAATATCACATCAGGGGACACCAGAAATGGGCTTCACACATTGTACCCATGTGGGGAATCAAACCCGGGTCTTCGGTGCGATGAGCAAAAGCTTTAACCACTAGGATACCCCACAGCCCCCCATTTATCCCCAAGGAAAACTTAACATAATACAAATAGACCTACTCTTAGTCTTTTAAAATATATAATTTTAAAAAAAATCACTGAAAACTGAATAGGAGCCCCAGTGCTCAATGCCCATGCTGCTGATCACTGGACTGTCTGGTCCAGACTCGATTATTACAGACCACGACATATAGCTGGAATGTTGCATTAAACAACAACAAACATACATCCTACCAGGTACCCATATACTACTGGGTGAACAGAGACATAGTTTGAACAGTCTCATCCAGCTACTTTATGCCATCAATGCTGCTCAACTTTCTGAAAACCAATTCTAACCCGGATCTTCACAACAATATATGCAGCAAAATATTGTCGTTGCCTAGACAACCAATCAGATCATCCAGCCCATTGTTCAACAAAGAAGACAACAATGCTTTCAGAATGTACACAAATTCTGTTTGACGGTGTGCATCATCACGACATGACCTGGCAGACATATAACCAACATTCCCTAAGTAACCGTAATCCCATAACGCCCTGCGGTTTATACGTACATTATCACACCCCTCCAGCCAATCACTCCATCTGACTTTTGTTTTATCTGGCCCTGAATCACTCAGCCATAGGCTATGTACAATATTCATATAGCATGTTTGCAGCTCACATATGTATTTGTTGACTGATCAAATGGCGACCAGATAGATATGAGTCACGCTGGTGTTTGATCTTAATGGCTGGTCTCAAGCTCTTACACCTGTGGAAATCACAGATCCCTAGATAGGGGTCAAGTGTCAGATCCACCAAGGACGTTATTCCTTTCCCAGCAAATGCTCCGGCCCATGGGTCAATCGGGCAAATACTGTCGGAAACTGAATGATTCTGATAACATTCCTGTATTGGCCATTTGGTGACCACTACAATCAGAGCATCAGCTTCCTTCTTGTGACGATATTAAAGGATTACAAACACATCAGTTTTCGTAACGGTTCATGATTTTTTTCAAATGACCCATCACTATGTTCAAGTTTACACAGTAATATATCAGATTTGGTTCACTGGGTCGTGTTCGCTTGCATTGATGTTCACAGCCAGAAACATCTGGAGATGGCTAAACAATGTAACAAAGATGTTGCTTAGGTGACGTCTGCAGATTACCAGAACGTCAATCCTGTATCCATACACAAACAGTTGAAATGGACCAAAAGGTGAATCCCCTTGGATGTAGAGGATCTGAATGAATGTGTATGAGAGAATGCTTATCTTAATTTGATATCTCTTATAATTATTTTCAATATGTAGGCATTAAAAATACAATTTATAGTTGAAAGCTTCATGAATGACCTTCCAATGAGCCTAGTGGTTAAAGCGTTCGCTCGTCACGCTGAAGTCCTGGGTTCGATTCCACACATGGGTACAATGGCTGAAGCCCATTCCTGGTGCCCCGGCCGTGATATTGCTGGAATATTGCTAAAAGCGTTGTAAAACTAAACTCCCAAACTCACCTTCCAATGTGACACTTGGGGAGATCCATAGCTGCTTTTAACTAAATGCATTAAAGTGTCTGTGGACTTGTACTTGTTGAAAAATAATGTATTCAATGTTTTACATTTCTCGGAGACCCTTATAAAATTATTTTGAATCTTGGAACTTAATTTTTGAATCTAGAAACCCTACAAATGGAGGTTTTGAGTCCCTAGACAAATAACCCTAACAAATCTGTGATGCTGTACCACTTTATATTTTACTGCAGGTGAAACAAAAGTGGCATTTTCACTGAATTATGAAATGAAATATCTTTCAAAACTTCAAACAGCGTATGTATAATGTAAAGATTATTTTCATTATTCATAATAAAGTGTATTTCTAATGCATCAGTGGCATGCTCTTCCAGGCAGGGACACAAGTACCATCTTTTAATGTCTTTTTTGTATGACATGCTGTTGGGTCAAGCCACCGACCGTCTGCTCCCTGATACAGACGTTCTATCCACTACCACACAGAGGCGGTCTGTTTCAGTGGATTTCCAATAAGAGCCCATTTGAAACTCCAGTTAAATTTCGAACCGAGACTTAAATAAGCACCCTAAAAAGACCTATAGAAACAAACATTTATAGAATACTAGGCTCTCTAGCATTCGCTTTTGAAAGCTTGGTGTGGGTGGGCAACGCTTCCAGAAATTTCTATAGACACACAGGAGGAGACAGACGTTTTCATCGTGCCATCAATTCCCAGAATGCTTCTGTTGGAACCCCACAGACCTGGAGAATTCTTAGAGGTGCAAGTAAAATGGCATGTAAGTCATGTGAGTGCACACAGAACTATTTTGGTTGGCAGTTTCAGCAATTACTTTTATTTAAATATAATCTGATGGCTCAACACTTTCAATATTTGTTCTTTGGAACCTCCTCATGATTTTTTCTATTTTTATTTATTTATTGGGGGTGGTTAGCGATTTTCTTATCAGTAACAGGTTATATAGCTACTTCATTACATACCTTACCTAAAATAGCTTACAAAAAACAAGCAAATCAAAGCCCCTGTTAACTTGAAGCTCTGCAAAGGAAAAACGTGAGATCAATAACATCTAGCGATTGATCTTCCCATCTGGATGATCTATTACCATCTGTCATGAGAAAAATTCAAATCTTTCTGTCTTCAAAACAATACATTTCCTCTTTCATAAATGAAATGATAAAAGCAACACCAAAAAATCCAAACAAATATTTTATTGTGCCAATGGTTGAACAAAATCAGTGTTTAAGTCTCTTGGTATTTAACCTTCAGGTGACGTAAAAGGTTAAAGATGCAAAATGTTCATGCTTAGATTTCAAAGCCTTCCAAACTTAATTTAAATTTCACGAAACCTGCTAAGCATGGAGACCAGTGAGTCGAGCTGGAGCGGCTTGACGAAATCCACGTCTGACTTGATGGACGATTTGTAAGTTTTCTTTAATTGAGCGAGTAACCTAGCGATGGAGGGGTCACGCTGGTTATGGAGCTGCTGTCACGGAAACCAGTTGTTACCTAACATGGGAATATTGAGACAGCTGCTTGCATTATGCTATCACATTCTCCATCAGCAATCACTCCAGCAGCGTAGTCGCCGATGTTGCACTCCGTGTCCTTACCGGGTGCAATGACAAGTCAATAATGTATTGGATTCCCGTTTCTCTAAATCAATGTTCATCGGCTACAGTGGGTGCCGGCAATTAAGTCAAGGCCTCCGACATGAAATGTGAATATACCAGCCAATATTCCCATTGCACAAAACTGTCACGTAAATAGGTTTATTTTGTACCTTTTTTTCACAGAAAACAATTATTGTTTGGATACAAGATGAAAACCAGTCCCTTTCACCGATTCATGCTAAGCGTAGATTTCAATATGGCTGTTTAAGTGGCCAACCTACTTTTCATTGGTTTATTTTCTAAACATTAAATGTACGGCATCGATTCTCTATACGGAACTATGAGAAAGCCTACATCTTAAAGTAATGCATTTAACAGATCCAATACTGTGAACAATTCAAGTAAAAGTCATATCAATTATAATATTTATTTGTATGAGCTTGGAATTAATGCCAATATAATAAATGAGAACAGACCATTATTCATGTGAGAAATGTGAATAAATTACTGATAATGCATCAATATCTGACAATCAAATGCTGGATTTGAAACCTTTAATTGTCTGAGCTCCAGACATGCTGTACTTGTATCAAACATGCAAACTAAATCAACATGACTGAGTTAGTTCTGAGCTAGTTCCAAAACCTTGTGTTCCTCATGATAAAGAAGTTGACATCCATAAAACTCGCTTCCTCACTTCTGAGATGTTTGGTTACAAATATGCAACTTAATACAACAATAGTACAACACTACTTTGTATAATTACCAAAAGTATCCTTTATCTTATGTCCCCAACCCTGATATTGTTGGAATATTGCTAAATGCTGCGTAAAACCTAATACCCATGAACATACGGGTTAGAATTTAGACTTGGTTGACACATGTCATCGCATCCCTATTGCGTAGAACGATGCTGATGCTGTTGATCACTGGATGCTCATGATGTCACTCACTGGACTGATTATATGGTTACTGGCATGCCACTAAATTATCAATGGTCTGTATTTGGCTGCTATTGGTACTACTTGCCCAGCAACTATGTGTGCATGTTGCTCATCTTGTTACTATGCCTTATAACATCTGCATGAGGCCGATCTTGTTACTACTTACAACTATCTGCTTGAAGTTGAACTTGCTACTGTTTGCCTGAGAAATGTGTATGGCTTATCATATTGTATGAAGAAAAACTGTACTCATGTCCAAATAACATATAGTGCCAACCAACACTTGCACGTGACTGCAATAACGATTGAATCTGACTCGCCCAATTGTCCAAATGTAACTTACCTAAAGACTGCCAAAATGTTACTTACCTCATGACTGCTTGTATGTGACTTTCCTAACAAGTTCTTGACTGAATTACCTAACAGCTCAAACGTGACTGACTTGGACTGCTTGGATGTGACTTACCTAACGACTGCTTGCAGATCTCCAGTAGAGCTTCCTCTTTAGCCTGCTTCTTGCTGCGGTCATTTTCTTTTTTGCTGAAATAGATCACACTGGCTTATTATGTCAATTACCATGCAAAGCTGAAGATTTCATGTGACACTGCTTCCTAACTAGCATAATGAGACAAATCAGTTGCCTGTGGAGGAGACCACAAGATGGAGGACAGATCGACATAACGACCAGGAACTAGGATCACTTCATTTCCTAAATCTTAAATTTTGTCAGTCATGTCCCATTTTAATTGAGTGTTTGACAGATCTGATATGGAGTAAATGTCTTGCTCTCAGTTAGTATTATAAACAGTTTTGTTTGTTGGTTGTTTAACGCTGCACTCAGCAATATTCAAGCTACATGGAGGTGATCTGTAAATAATCCAGTGCTCAACAGCATGAGCATCAATCTATACTATTGGGTTATATCTTCTAAAGTGGAAGAAGATGTTTCTTTTAGAGGTATCTAATGGCTATCTAAGGTGTGTGGTGTGACAATTTGTCAGATGTAGACTGTTTTAGGGCAATGAATTTTTTTTGGACTTTTTGAACAGTATCACAACACAGAACAGTTCACAGTGTCACAGCTGATGTAGCACCAATATTTCAACATAAACATACAAATATCTGTCTGGACTGATATATATTGTGAATGAATTAATTTGAATATCAACCTGGAATATAATATATTGCTGAGGAATAACATGAATATCACTGTGGAATGTGATACATTGTCAAGGAGATAACTTGAATATCAACCTGGAATATGATATATTGTCAAGGAGATGACTTGAATATCAACCTGGAATATGATATATTGTCAAGGAGATGACTTGAATATCAACCTGGAATATGACATATTGTCAAGGAGATAACATGAATATCAACCTGGAATATGATATATTGTCAAGGAGATAACATGAATATCAACCTGGAATATGATATATTGTCAAGGAGATAACATGAAAATCTATGTTGAATGTGATATATTGCCAAGGAGATAATTTCAATATCAGCCTTGCATATGATATATAGCCAAGGAACTAACTGAAATATGATATACAAGGCGCTAACTAAATATCAGCCTAGAATATGATACACTACCAAGGAATAACTTGAATATCATCCTGACAATGTGATACATGACTAACATCTATTAAGCCGTATCAATAATGTCCATCTAGTATATGTCCCTGCATGCAGAAAATATCGCTAACCTGGCAGCAGGACATGAAACAGAGGCCAAGGATTTACCGACACTTAATAACAGCATGATCTATCGGCCATTGTTCAAGTCACACAATCATCTTGTAGAGTTGAAAGTAGCCATGTAGGGCTGTTTTATTGATCACAACTATACATGCTATTCAAAGCCTGGAACTATCCAAAGACATGCTCAATCGATTCTTAGAATTTCTTACAACTTAGATCAATCCCATCGAGAAAAGAGCATATTCCTTCTCCCACCTAGACCGGCTATGTCGGTGTTGGTGAAGTGTAGGATAATGCTGTCTTACTTATTCCCTTTGCAGCGACCAGGCTTTAGCCTCATTGAATACATACACGAGTGCGGTGCTTCATGTCAATAGCTTTCCAATAGGGTATGTCACTACCTTCAATATCAAACGAAGCATAATAAACTAGACTTCATGGAGGCACTCGTGTTGGTGCTTGCGGCATGAGCTTCTTGGCGTCAAGTTCAGTTATATATATCCCATTACATCATGTTCATGTCCATATCGTAAAATGGTTTCGTCAAAAAATATTCTAGGTTTGAGAATTACGATCTCCCCCGAAACAGATTATTTACATGGGGTTGCCATGGCAACCTTCATGTCTTGACAGGTGGCTAATTATGGAGTACCCTACCGACCATATTGGAATCAACAAGCATGGCGTTGATTGTACAAAGGTTGGCAACGATGTAGCTAATGCAGACCTACAGCTCCTGGGTATAACACACAGTGCCATGTGATATCGTTTCTCATGATCCATGTCCTTGGAAAAAAGACAAAAATGTTCCAGAAAATTAGTTCCAGATGAAATTTGTTAGTTTATGTAGTATTTGGAAGTATTGGTGCATACATGTTGTAACTGAATAACCAGAAGATCAAACTGCTGTACTTGTTTAAACCGTGAACATGATCCCTGCTAGTTATCTGGCTCTGTTTGGAATAATAGACTGTGAGTGTAATCAGGTTAGCATGGTGGAGTAGGTGCATCTACCAGTGCTACGTTCTGTGTACTTAAAACCAGTGTTCCAGAAAAACAGATCAGTTGGTTGATACTTTATTAATGTTAGACATTTGTAATTAAGTTTTGTTTGTTCGTGCGTGCATGTGTGTGTGTGCATGCATACAGGCTTTTATTGTCAGACTACTGCTGACTAGTCGTGGTCCGATTAATTGAAAAAATCGAAGATTGGTCGCAATGACTAAACAACCAAGCAATCGATCATGTTTTCTCATAATCGAACACAAACAATTCTGGAACACATTTTGCATTAACAATATTTTTCACACGGTTGGTTTTGTGTTTTGTCACAACTGAATTTATTTTAAAGAAGACAAGAAATTTATGTTCCTAACATACTAGTCATCCTTTATAGATGGGCAATTTGCAAAAATCACCCCAAGGAACTGCATGTATATTCTTTAGTTTATGTGCATAAACAAAAATAACTAGGAAAATTTCATAAATGACGCTAACCAATTATTTTTGATGATTGATCGGTTGTAATTCACTACCTCATACACATGTTGAACATACAGGGACAGAGTGAGTAATAGATGTCTTCAGCTGCAGTTACCAATATTTCAGCTTGATGGTGGCAACAGTCTGGAAACCATGCAAACCAGTGGTCAACAGCATGAGCAACAACCCACACCATCAGGTCACAATGACAACCAGTCACCAAACCTGATCTTCTTAATCTTATCTTTAACAGTGAGTAAGTATGGCCTCCTCCACTTCTATAAATAATCCAGCAAGATGGAAAAGGCACAAAATGCGCTTTACACATTGTACTCATTTTGGGAATCAAACGCTGGTCATTGGTGTCACAAGTGAACACTTTAACCACTAGACTACCTCACCACCCCTTTACCTTTAACAAACATGGTGAGTGAGTGAGTGAGTTTTATGAAGATTTTAGCAATATTCCAGCATTATCACGGCTGGGGACACCAGAAATGGGCTTTACACATTGTACCCATTTTGGGAATCAAATCCAGGTTTTTGACGCCACAAGCTGAGCTAAGCTACCTCGTTGCCCCTTTATCTTTAACAAACATCTCACTCCTTCCTGGTTGTAATCAATAGAGAATGGGATACAGAAGTTTATCATATAATGGCTTGTGCTATCGATACCATGAGCAATCAGATAAACTTGGAATGACTATCCAATAAATATGCAAATGAGACTGCCTCGCAGGAACTACTTTCAAGATCCATACACTGATAGATTGTACAGGTCTTCTTTCTGCATCAACTATTGACTAACATTCCAAAAAACTTTGATAGCAACTTCTTAATGTGTCACTGTTTCTGTAGAAAAAAAGCTACTCGATAATATGTAATAGAATTGGTAGCTAACTTAAAGGTCACATGCAACCAAAAAATCAAACATAATTAAAACACAATTATCACTTATTCGTGACATATAATATACATTGCTGGTTATGAAAAAACATATAAACAAAATTATAAGCGGACAATCGCAAATCAAAAGTGCAATATTGTGTACTTGGGTTTACTTCCCTCGAAACGAAGCAGCCAGGATACCGAACCCAGTCAGAGCGGGTGGGTGTGCACTCAAGTGTAACGGCTGGTTCATTTGCGTGAAGATTTTAGCATGCCCTCACGGCTTATTGTGTGTGTATATGTAGAGATGTTGGGTTTTGTAAATACATGCTCATTTTTTGTGTATAACATTTTGCAATCAACAGACATCATAACATGTCATGTGTTCAAGTATCACACCTGCCTGTCTGTGTAATTACATAATGTGACAGAGACCGAACTCGGGCCATAAATCAATGCATTTTGTTTATGGTGTATAGCCTGATTGGTGTTAAGTTCAAATTGCATGTGGTCAGTGATAGCAGCTGTGTATTAAATATTGTCATTAGCAGACGGGCAGGCAGACACACAGGTGTCAATAAAACAAGACATTGAGTTTTGTCTGCGACATATCTATATCACAGTTAGAAATTCTGTCAACGCTAAATAAGTATCGAACTGAGAAAGTGACTCGGTAAGAAGAACGTGTGGTGAAATTATATAAACAGTTAATTTACTGTCATAACATATAAAAAGCTTGCGCCTGTGAGATATCAACAAAACATTACAAAAATAGCTCACACCAAAGCCTTCACCGAGTATTCACCGGACAACCCGCTTCCAAGCTGCGCGAACCTATTTCACTGCGCACGTGCTATGAGCGCAGCCAAGCTGTTGAAACCCGTTTTCCCCAGAAAAGTCTGGGGAAAATTAGTGAATCGTTTGAACTCCGATTTCGCGTTTTTTCATCGCGTTATTTTTCAACTTTATAAGTTGAATTTGCATTTTTGACGCTTTGTTTCGGTAAGTCCATACCGAAAGGTATCAGAATCTGCAAAGTTGTGTTTTACGTTGCATGTGACCTTTAAACATTATATACATGTGGTATCTAAAAATAACTCACTGAGTGAAGTTACGTATTAAACATCCATGATGTTAAGAATGACGCAGAGATTATTAAACCGGAATGTTTCTGTATTGTAAATTTCTTATCTTGGGTAATATAAAATCTTTAAAGTGCTCATGAAAAAAATATGTTAACATTTTAGAGCCAATGACCCCTTGAGTTTAATGCATAATGTGAAATCTGAAACAGCTAATAAAATATTGTACAAATGTCGAAGACACAATAAATTAAAGATGGTACTGCTCAGATAAGAACACCTTGCGTTTAATGCTTAACGACATATGTACAATACAATACATTAAAGATGGCACTGCTGAGATAGGAACGCCTTGCGTTTAATGCTTAACGCCAAATCTGA